AAGGGAGTGACAAGTCCACCCTTAAGGCAGATTGGCCAGAAAAAAAAGTTACCAAGTCTAATCTTTGCAGACTAACAAGATCACCTTATGATTTTTTCTTTCCTTAGAAATTTGCCAGGCACAGCCTGATCTCCAGAGTGCCAGGATAGGCTCCAAATCTACACAGAGAAACACTGTCTCAAAAAATAAAACAAAATTTAATTGCCTGTGAGATGGCTTAGCAGCAGGTAAATGTGCCCATCATCAAGCGTGATGACCTGAGTTCAATCCCTTAGTGCTTCCTAAATGCTTCAGATAAACTCATTTCGTTTTATCCTTTCACCCTCCCTCTGGTCATCAGGACAACCCTCCCATAGTAACGGTCACTTCCATACAAGTCCGACCACAAGGACCAGGACAAAGGTGACAGTGGATTAATGTTGGGACAGAATTATAATCTAGGCCTCTTTCCTTTAATCCCTGTTTTTCTCAGCATAGTGGGAGATGTAAGACTGAGGAGTGTGTCGGAGTGTGTCCCAGTGGGATCACCTGTAGCTGAGATGAACTTGTTGTAGTTCTCATAAACCAGGGTCTGCATGTCGCTGTCTAGAGCCCGGATCTGCCGCACCATGTCCGTCTCACTGTCCATCAGCTGGGCCAGGGGACACTCTCTACGCAGCTAGAGAAGCAGGTAGCAGCATTCAGGGTTAGTGCTCACTCAGGTCCCCCTGTCTTGCCTTAGGCTAGTTGGCTTTCCGTGCAAGACAACCATGATCCCACCCTGATCAGGTATTCCAGATGTGGAACATAAGTGAAATACTTCAGGGGTTACTAGATTAGACCTAATTTGGGACTTGATAGCTTTCAAAGTCTTCAGGCTAGCTTAAATGCAACCCAGGCCCAGCCTCGCTCCTGTCAGACTATGGCCACGCCCACTACAGCGGGCCTATTAGAACCTCAGCATCCAGATCACAGACCCCAGTATCGCCTCAGGTCAGTCCTATCTGGCCCACGCTTGCTTGGCCCCCAGATCGGCCCCTGTTGCCCGGTAAGGGCTGTCCTGCTCTTATGAACTCTCGCTCCCCTCACCACATCAACAAAATCCGGGACACGATCTAGGGTCCAGTATATTGGGGGTCTGGACCCGCCCCACTTCACACATACACACACCTTGTCCAGATAAACTTCCGGGTCGAAGTGCGCCCCATTGAGATCTGTCGGATCTAGAGGGTCAGGCCCCGCTGAGTGCCCCGCCGCCTCCCCTTCCGAGAGGCCGTAGTAAAGCTTCAGCATTCCATGAGCCTTCCGCCGACGCTCCGGAGCGTCCGCCTCCGGTCCTTCTGGGGAGTCCCCGGGCCCGGACCCCACAGCTGCGGCTCCAGCCACAGCTCCAACTGCAGCACAAGGGAGTGAGGCTGGGGAGGGGAGGGGTAGGGAAGCACTTCCGGGAGCCATAAAGTTGTTGAAACCAGGCGGTCCTTTAGGTGGAACGTTCCTCGGCAGCTATAGGACATGTGAGACTAAAGTTCCGACTTGCACTTCTGGCGTGCAGGGGTTTCGCTGAGCTTCTGGTTCCTGTGATTGTGTAATGCTGTAAGGTGGGCGAGTCGTGGCGTCCCAATCCTGCATCCCGACTAATGGAATATGTGCCTAGATTGAACGAATGGGCATTAAAATTAGGGAATATACTTCACCGGAGTTCTATAAGGATCAAGTGTCTATTAAGTAGCCTACACCATGGCTCTAGTGCAGTATTTCCTAAGGTCCTGTCTCCAAGGGTTTCTGCTCACACTCAGCATGATAACCATTATTCTGTGGTGTTTACAGAAAAGAATTTGTAAACCTGAAGTGGTTGGGGAAATGTGCTGAGTGAGGAGTAGGGATTGAGGACAATTGCTAAATTTCTGACTTAGACAAGACTCAGGCATTCATAGAGGCGAAACTCTCAAGAGAGGAGGGAATAAGGTCAGAATGGGATATCCTGAGTGACATAGAAAAAAATGAGACTTTAACAGTGATGTACTGTAAACGTTACCGAGGATGGACTGATAGGGTGGTGGACTGCCAGGAGTCCTGCAGACCAAACACTGACTAGCATCTATTTTTATCTGTAAACCATTATTTAAAAAATAGTTATAGCTGGGTGGTACTGGCACACATCCTTAATTCCAGGCAGGTGGTTTTCTGAGGTTGAGGCCAGCCTGGCCTACACACAGAATTTCAGGCAGCCAGAGCTACACAGAGAAACCCTGTCTCAGAAAAAACAGCAAAAATTCTAATGGTATTAAGATTTAAGTAACTTCTGTGGAACCTCAATATTTATTGTCTTTAATTATGTATATGCAGGTGCTTGAGGAGGCCAGAAGAGGGTGTTGGATACTGTAAAGTTGTAGTTACAGATTGTGTGAGCTGCCCAACCTGAATGCTGGGAACAAAACTGCAAGAACAATACATATTCTTCACTGCTTTTTCTATTTTTGTTTTTTGAGTCTCACTAGGTAACCCTGGCTGACGTGGAACTCACTATGTAAACCAGGCTGGCCCGGAACTCACAGATATGTCTGTGATCTCTGCCTTCCAAGTGCTAGAGCTAAAGGCAAATGCTGTCATGCCCAGAGCCCACATCCCCTCTCTCCTCTCCTCTCCTCTCTCCCTCCTTCCTTTTTTTTTTTTTTTTGAGACAGGGTTTCTCTATTTAGCAGCTCTGGCTGTCCTGGAACTCACTCTGTAGACCAGGCTGGCCTCGAACTTACAAGATTGGCCTGCCTCTGCCTCTGACTAAAGGTATGTGCCACCACTGCCGGCCCCAGAGCCCATTTCTTGACCTATTATTTATGACTTCTTTTGTCACAGAATAAATGGCCTATAAAATCTAAAGCATTTATTTATTCACTTGGTCTTGGACCAAAAGTTTCTATTCACTGGGCTATTTAGATACTGTACATATGAAGATTTCAGCCTATGAACTTGTAATTTAAGAAACTGAATTTGAGCTAGAGAGATGACTTAGCAATTAAAAGCATTTGCTGCTCTTCCTAATGACCCATGTTCCCAGGCTCACTACTGTCTGTAATTCCAGTCCTGGGAGATCCAATATCCTCTTTTGGCCTCCATGGGGAGCCAGGAAATCATGTGTATTGCAGACAAAATATTCATACATACAGAAAAAAATTAAATAAAAAATCATAAAATGAAGAAAAGAAAACCAAACATGGCAGTGTGTCCCTAGAGTCCCAGCATTCAGGAGCAAAAGTGCAGGAGAGGGTTAAGATCATCCTTATAGTAAGTTTGAGGCCAAAGTAGGTTACATGAAAACTGTCTCAAAAACTGAATAAAAACAAAGGGGGGGGGGCTGGAGAGATGGCTCAGAGGTTAAGAGCACTGGCTGTTCTTCTCGAGGTCCCAAGTTCAATTTCCAGCAACCACATGGTGGCTCACAACCATCTATAATGAGATCTGGCGCCCTTTTCTAGAATGCAAAACAGAAGAACACTGTATACATAATAAAACAAAAACAACAAAAAGGTTGGAGCAGTTATGAGTAGGTTTCTGAAAGTTATCCTCTAATCTTCACTCCACCTACCACACATACTAAGATAAATGAGGCTGGGCACAGTGGCACACACCTTTTTGATCTAGACAGGTAGATCTCTGTGAATTTGAGGCCAGCCTAGTCTACACAGTGAATTCTGGGGTAAACCAGGGCTACTTAGTAAGACCTTGTCTCAAACAAACAAAACCAACTCTAAGTCAATTAGTATTAAAATAAAATCTTTAGCCGGGCGTTGGTGGCCCACGCCTTTAATCACAGCACTCGGGAGGCAGAGGCAGGCAGATCTCTATGAGTTTGAGACCAGCCTGGTCTATAAGAGCTAGTTCCAGGACAGCCTCCAAAGCCACAGAGAAAAAATCCTGTCTTGAAAAAAACCAATAAAATAAAATAAAATCTTTAAAAGCTTATTTGTATTTTATGCTATAAAATACATAGGTCTTGGGAGCATGCAAACTAGCATTGCACAGAGACAAAGAGGGGGAAGAACAGCATACAGGTGACAAGAGAAGCAGCACCAACACCTTGGAACTTAGAGACAAGGCTAACGCCCCAATCAGAAGGATAGAGACAAGGCTAACTCCCCAATCAGAAGGATAGAGACAAGGCTAACTCCCCAATCAGAGGGATAGAGAAAAGGCTAACTCCCCAATCAGAGGGATGACTACATTTTGCTGTTTCTGGTTCTCTATGAAATCTGGTAGCCAGAACTGATGGGAGGTGGGAGGTGGGGTAAGAGGGTGGGAGGGTAGGTTCTGATTTGCAGGGAATCAGTCTGTAGGTATCCACAATATTCTCTGAAGAAAGGGTACTTTAGCTTCATTCCCTGTCTCTGCTTACTGAAATCTGTGGTGACATGAACTCCAGTGTTTCAGTTTAGAGAGCCTGGGATGCAGCCAGGCTTCCCTCCATTGGGAAAGCCTTCAGCCTCTCATCTAGCTCCTAATCACTCTCCTGCCTAAAACGTGCTGTGGAATAGCTTGGTGTAGTGGCTCACACCTTTAAACTCAGGAGGCATAGGCAAGTAGATTTCTGAGGCCAGCCTGGCCTACAGAACAAAATTCAGGACAGCCAGGGCTATACAAAGAAATCTTGTGTGGAAAAAACAAACACTGGGTGGTGGTGGCGCATGCCTTCAGTCCCAGTACTCAGCAAAGGCAGGTAATCTCTGAGAGTTCCAGGCCAGCCAAGTCTACAAAGCGAGTTCCAGGACAGCCAGGTCTGTTACACAGAGAAACCCTGTCAAAAAACCAAACCCAAAACAAAACACCAAAAAACAAAAGCAAAACCTTGCCATGGAGCTGGGACATTCTCCTCCACCCTTGCCTGTTCCCTGTACAGCGTCCCCTGTGGCAGGCCAATACTGAGCTTCCCAGGAAGTACAGAAGATGGAATCGTGTCTCTTCCTTACACTACAGGCTCCTGCCATTCAGCTCACTTTGTCTATTACTCCACAATGGAACATCCTCAATACTCAGACACATCCTTCTATTTGTTGGAATCAGGCTATGTTCTAGAACCTTGCCCTCTCCAATGCCTTCCTCACTCTGGAACACACTGATGTTTCTGCCAGAACACCCTAGAATGGCAGGATGTTGCTGGCCCTGGACAGTGACCACTTGCTCCAGTCCCTGGGCCTGACTTGAGTCTAGGCTGTGACCAGGATGAGGTGGCGGGACCGAATGGCTGTATTATTCTTCCCTCCAGGCATGATGCTCACTGTGGCTGCACTCATGCTCTTCTTCCTACACATGGGTGTCTTTGCTAGTGATGTTCACAACTTCTGTGTCACCCACTACTATGACTACATGAGCTTCCGATACACAGTTGTCCTGATAGTAGGTCTGGGATGGGGGGCTCAAGGGCTGCCTGGGGAAAGCAAAGGGCTAATGAAAGTGTCTGCCATGTCAGGGGGCCACTCTCCCACTGGATCCATCTCCCAGTTCTCCCAGGTGATCAGCATCTGCTGGGCTGCCATGGGGTCACTTTACGCAGAGATGACTGATGACAAGTTTCTTCGATGCTTTGCTTTGACCATCCTGAGTGAGTGGGGTGGTGTGCTACAAGAAGGGAGAGTTTTGAAACCCTGAGATGTGGCAAGGAGGGGACAAAAATGTTGAGTTGATGGGCTCTTTCCTCCATCCAGTGCTCAATGGAGCCATGTTCTTCAACCGAATGTCCCTGGAGTTTCTGGCCATCAATTACCGAGAGGAAAGCCACTGAGGCCTGGGGATTGGGGACAGGGCTGAGAAGGAAGATGGAAAAAGCTGCTTCAGGTGTTTTAATAAAGTCTGTTGTTTATTTGCACCTGTCTGCTCCTTTGAGGGTTAAGTAGGAGGCTGGAGACCCAAGGACAAGCAAGTGAAGACCAATTTGACCAACAAGGCTACAGACCTGGCCTGCAGCCTCAGCCTCCAACTGACTTGGTCCAGGGGATCTTAGTGTCTTAGGACTGAGGAAGAAAGGTGGACAAAAGCTCTCAGGCCTCCCAGACCTTCTCTCCCCAGGACTTCAGATCCTAAGCTGGCCCAGACACAAGCATGGGCTCAGGAAGGACCTACACGGATGTGAGGGTTCATGAGTGGATCCAGATTGGGATCACTGTCAGCTGCAGCCCGGCCGAGGCGAGACATAAGGGCAAGGAGTGCCAGGAAGCCCAGCAGCCCCAGCAGGAGCAGGAGCCCTGCCCGCTGGAGCAGAGTCAGTGGCCGCTTCCGGGACCCAGTCCTGCTCCTGAGAGAAATGAGGGGAAAGTCAGATCAGGCCCTAGGGCTCTGCCCTGGCACAAAAGGCGAAGCCTTAGTCACTCTCTTTAGGCCTTAATTTCCTTATCTGTGCACTGGGAATGATCATCCCTGTCCCCCTGCATTGGCCATCATATGGGATTATTATAAAACTTGAGACAGTGGGACACAAGTTGTCCTGGAGACTAATAAAAATCAGATAGCATCAAAACAGGAAGAGGCCTCAGAGCCCAAGTCCAAACACTCTGTAAGAGGAAAGGGCACAACCCCTGGAAAGGACACACACACTAAGTCTGCCCGCCTGCCAGGGCCTCATTGTGGCCCTGGCACTGGATGCTGTTAGTGCCCAGAAAAAGAATCACTGTCAACAAACTGTCCACCATGGGGCTTCTCCTCTCTGACACCCCATCCTGTGTGTCTCCATGTACCTGAGCAGTTGGGCCAGCCAACCTAGAGCAGGCCGGCGGCGGTATTTGTCATCATCACAATCTCCATGGAATCCTGCTGTCCGGTCATCATCCCGTGTGTCATATACCTTCCTTGGGGCTATAGGGATAGAAACACCAGCATGAATAAGCTCAGACAAACTGGTCCTATGGAAGTTGTAGGGAGGCAATATCTGTACTTGGAGTGAGGAAGAGCCATTCCACAGGGGCTCCTGAGCGCCCTCCACACAAATCACCCACTTTTTTCTATTTTCTGACTGGGAAAATTCTACAGCTCACCGTGTGTCAGGGCCTCAGTACTAGCCATGTGTATGACTGTGTGCTGCTCAGGACAGTTGGGGGGAGAAGGGGGACAGGGAACCTGGCCATAGAAAGTTGGAGCAACAGAAGTGCTGTCTATCTCCTCTTGTGCAGCAGGGCTGGTGGCTGTGGACAGAGAGAGAATGGTCAGTGAAGCAGGGAAGCAAGGCCCAGACAGCAGATGGAGGCCACCACTTACCATTGAAGCTGGACCAGTCAGAGAAGTCTGGGGAATTGAGGGGCTCAGGCTCTGGGCTTATTGCCTCATCGATCTGGAGAAAGGGATCTAAGTCAGTAGCCTGCTCACTCATGTTACCAACCCATCCAATCTGGCTCAGGTGAGGGTGAGGGCGAGGGCAAACAGATGGCCAGATAGACAGGGGGATTCTCACCAGAGGGAGGCCCAGTCCTGCCCGTGCCCAATTGACTGTGGCTAGCTTCTCTCTCAGTGCTGAAGCCACAGGGCCAGCTAGATTGGCTGGGGGGAAGATGGGGCCATTACAGCTGGGGCACTGGTAACCTGCAGGTGCCGTGTTTCGTGGTAGCTGAGCAGCACGTTCATTGATGCAGGCCCAGTGGAAGAGATCTTAGGACCCATGAAACAAGAAAGGAAAGACATGAGAAAGACAACTTGTTGGGCTCTTAGCCTAGGCCTAGCAATGCCTGCCCCCCCCCACACACACACCCTAGTCAGCTCATTGCAGGAATGAATGAACATATATGTGGATACCCAGGGTCATTCCTTTTCTTCTTCACCCCAGGTCCCCAAGACTTCATTCAACCTTCTTGTTAATACCACTGTACTAAATCACAGTAGATTCTATCTACTTGGCCAGCCCATAAGGAGAAGGTGTGGCTGGGAAGAAAATGTCATCTACCAGAATCTTCTCTGGGCCTGAACCCATCACACTCCTCACGCTAAAGGTTAAACAACAATAGTTTCAGGCTGGGTGTGGCAGCAGCTACTTGTACACCTATCTCTTGGGAGGTAGAGGCAGAAGGATCAAGAGTTCAAAGTCAGCCCCATGAGATCCCAGCTCAAAAAGACATTAATACAAAAGCACTTTTAGGAAAGCTTCCCAGACATACACACAGATACATGCATATATCCAGAGGTACAAATATACATATGCTAATATATAAGCAAACTCAAAAGCCATTCCCTCAACCTACACTAATTGTCACATGTTTAAGATGTACACATCTGTACATTCAAGGCAGCTAATACTCAAAAACCAACACCCTCATGCCATCATGCATTCCATAGGACATGTGTTCATATACATTCATTATCCATTCACTTTCCCATACGTAGTAATCAAATTGTCCATTTGTATGAGTGTACACATAATCTCACAGAGAAACACATTAAAGCCTGCCCTTTTGAACCAGCATCTTGAAAAACTTAAGCTGAGTCTTTTACAGCAGGCTGTGACTACTGTCTCCTTCTAGCTAACTGTAATGCACGAGTGAGGCTTCCTTTCTGTCCAGTCTTGGAATTAATAACGTTCCCCAAAAATGGATCTTGCTCACAGCCACAGATCAGTCATCTCCAGCTCTCCAAGACTGGCAGAGCAGGAAGGAAAGACACTGAGGCTGTGGAAGGGACAAGGCTTGATTAGGCTTACGAAGCAGGGAAGTACCTAACAGATTTGGGATCAGAGGCTCTGGCCTCCAGGTTTCAGAGACTTATTGTCTCGAAGCTTGAAAGGTGCCAGCAAACCAGTCTCCAAGCTGGATCCTGGGGCTGCCCTGACCCCTTCCCAGTGCCCAGGCCTTACCATAGCAGACAAGACGGGTTGTCTCTCGACTGGTCAGGGGTGTGTTGCACAGGCGGCAATTGGGGTTGTAGTCACTATCTTGTAGCCACTGCAAGTAGGACTGCACGATGCACTGGAGTGGAAAAGAGATGTCACAACTGGTGCCCAGGCTCTACGATTAATATACTACTCCAAGGCCCAAGTGCCTTGTTTCTTTCATCAGATTCATTTTGTGTGTTTAGTCAATGAACACTTACTGAGCACCTACTGGAGGTCTAACAGAGAGCAACATAAACCAAGTCCTTGCCCTTGTGGAGCTTACAATCTAGCGTTGAGTCCCTCATGGATTTGGAAGGAGACTGGCCTGCCCACCCAGTGCCCTGCTCAGCCACCGCTCTGAACGTCCCACCTTGGCGTGATTGGCTACCAAGCAGTGCTCACAGACGTTAACTCGATGTTCGAAGCAAAACAGGTTTGTCACCTTCCTCTTGGGGCACTTGCAAAGGCCCATGACCGATCCTAGAGAGAGGATCTGAGTTAACAGGAAACCAGGTTCATGTGATTGCCACTTTGTTCTTACCAACCTAGTTCGTTTTTTTTTTTTTTTTTTTTAATCTCTCAGACCCGTCCCACACTAGTCCTCAGCACGGGTACGGCCACGCCCCCAGCACAGACCGTACTCATTCCATCAGGACCCAGCCCCTAGCCAGATCTCTCCATCAATTACTCCAATAACACAGCGCAGAAGGTCGGAGACTGTGTTGACCCACTCCGGTAGCTGAAGCTCTGCTCCCTTCGGCTCCAGCCGCTCTGACTATCCCTCCGCTGCCACGTCTCTTCCGGGTGCGGCGCGCTCTGATGACGCCACAGCGCCATCAGGCCACGCCTCTGCCCACGCAAGACGTAAACCTGAGACGACAAAGGCATAGTCCAAGGGGCAGCCTTCTTCTTGCGTCACTTCCGATTCCGCCTTCCCGCTGGCGGGTGATTTGAACGTTTGCAGGAACAAACTTCCCGGTTGGCGCGAGCCTAAGTTGGCTACGGTGGTGAAGGAGACTGAGCCGGACCATAGATATGTCGGAGCGGCGAACGAGGTCCGGAGGGGCCGCGCAGCGGCCTGGTGAGTGGAGGACGCTCGACAGGGCCGTGTCGTTTGGACAATGAAACTTAGCTCCCGGGCAAGTTGGAAAACGGCGTCAGCTTTTCCGAACTCGTCAAGCGCCTGGTTTCGTTTGGTTTTTTATTTTTTTCCTCGAACAAAGTTTTGCTTATCTTTAAACATATTTCCCTTTCCAGGACCCAAGACTCCATTTATTAAGTCTTCGAAGAGGTCCCAGCGGAAATCTGGCTCAGATCTCCCAAACATCTTTCCTGAAATATGGCCGAAGGTGAGATCCGAGTTCCTCAGGTACTGACCTAATGTAAAGCTTTGAACAAATGTAAAGCTCATGGTAACCCTTTCCCCTCTTTTCAGACACCTCAAGCGGCTCCGGTCAGAAAGGCTATCATCTTGAAGAAGATCGTGGCTCATGCAGTAGAGGTGAGGGACTAAAAGGGATTTGAGAGTGAGATGTCAAACCGGCTAAGCTGTTGATTGATGGGTTGATGTTATCTCTACAGGTCCCAGCTGTCCACACACTTCGAAGGAGTCCTAGGGTGAGTTCAGTTCCACCTGCTTATTTGTATGGGATCCGGTTCTCCTTAGAAAAAAGGGTAGACATACTAAGCACCACTTCCACCCAGGCAGCTGAGAACAACTTGCCTCTTGACACCTTTATGAATTGTCACTTTAGATCTCACTGTGTAACACTGTTGTCCTGAATTGAAAGTTGCTGTAGACCAGGCTAGCCTCAAACTCAGAGATCCAACTGCCTTGGTCTCCCCAGTGATGGTACCAAGGATTAAATGAGTCCATGCTATCAGGACTTTCCTTCATTTTTAGTTTTTAATGTTGTTGGGTTTAGTTTGTTTTGTTTTGTTTCTCAAGTCAGGTTTTCTCTGTATAGCTCTGGAACTCACCCTGTAGACTAGGCTGGCTTCAAACTCACAGAGATCCACCTCTGCCTTCCTGAGCTGTGCACCACCACCACCCAGCTAAGTAAATGTTTACAAAAAGGAAAGAGTAATTCTCAGCACCCAAATCAGATGGATGTCAACCATCTGTAGCTTCAGTGTCCTCTTCTGGCCTCCATGGACACGTGCATACAAAATACAAACTGTAAAAGATGAGTTATATGCTGGGAGTTGGTGGCGCACGCCTTTAATCCCAGCACTCAGGAGGTAGAGGCAGGCAGATCTGTGAATTCGAGGCCAGCCTGGTCTACAAAGCGAGTTCCAGGACAACCTCCAGAGCTACACAGAGAAACCCCATCTTGAAGATGAGTTGTATGTACATGCTTTTATAGTTTTGGTAGAACTTTTAAGGACTTTTGTCATTTGTCTGTGAACACCTTGTTTTTTGAGATAGTGTATTAGTGTCTCATATAGCCAAGCCTGGCCTTGAACTTAGTGTATAATTAATGCTGGTTTTGAATTCCTGATTCTCTCGCTTCAAACACCCAAGTACTGGAATTACAGCTGTGCATCTCTATACCCAATGATATTTTGTTCTTTGAACAAGGTTTTGTTATTGAGTTGGTCTGATTGGCTTGGTACTCTTTGAGTAAGATGGGCTGGCCTTGAAGTCAAGGCTATCTTCCTTCCTAAGCCCCAAGAGTTCTGGGATTATAGTCCCTAGTTTGATTTCTTATCCTGATGTGTGGTGCTGGAGGTCAATCTCAGGATATCACACATGCTAAGCAGGTGCCCTGCTGTTGAGATAATCACAGCCAGCTTTTGAACTGAGGTACTGAGAGAGTAAAGCTGGGATGTCATAGAAAGATTTCTCTAGGAGTATGTGAGTGATTTCATTGCAACCCTGGGACCAAGGGGAGAGCCTTGAGTTAATATGATTAGGCCCCAACTAAGATAATGGCTGGACACATGTCCTATCACACCTCCTCCTGGAGAGCTTCCTGACTACTATAGTTCATTGACCCATTTCTCTGCGGTTACTTTATCATCATCTAGTAGAGTACTTGCTTACATGTTTGATATCTTTCCCTCTAAACATAACTACCTTAAAAGTGAGGACTTCCAAATTCATGGCCAGCCTGGTCTACATAAAGAGACCCTTTCTCAAAAAGTACAATCTGGCAGGGTGTTGGTGGTGCATACCTTTAATCTCAGCATTGCAGGGGTGGTTTGCCGAGGCAGGTGGATCTCTATGAGTTCGAGACCAGCCTGGTCTTCAAAGAGAGTTCCAGTACAGCCTCCAAAGCCACAGAGAAATCCTGTCTCAAAAAACTAAAAGAAAAAGAAAAACAAACAAAAAAAAAGTAGTACAGTCTGGGTGGCTGTGTGGCCGCAAGAGGATGGGGATGTAGTATTTAGAGGTGGTACCACTTCTGATGGCATCCTTTTGTTTTCAGGACAGGGTTTTTCTGTATAGCCCTGCCTGTCCTGGAACTCACTCTGTAAACCATGCTGGCATCAATTCATAGAGGTCCTCCTGCCCCTGAGTACTGGATTAAAGGTGTGTCCAACCACACCCATCTGTGTTTTTTGTTTTGTTTTTTGTTTTTGTTTTTCGAGACAGGGTTTCTCTGTGGCTTTGGAGGCTGTCCTGGAACTAGCTCTTGTAGACCAGGTTGGTCGAACTCACAGAGATCCACCTGCCTCTGCCTCCCGGGTGCTGGGATTAAAGGCATGCACTACAACCACTCACCTTGTTCTGCCTTGCTTTTTTTTTTTTTTTTTTTTTTTTTTTTTTTTTTTTTTTTTTATGTATATAACATTCTGCCTCCATGTATATCTGCACACCAGCAGAGGGCACCAGATCTCATAACGGATGGTTGTGAGCTACCATGTGGTTGCTGGGAATTGAACTCAGGACCTCTGGAAGAGCAGTCAGTGCTCTCTTAGCTATCTCTCCAGTCCCAAAAGAACCTTTTTTTTTTTGGTTTTTTGAGACGGTTTCTCTGTGTCTTTGGAGGCTGTCCTGGAACTAGCTCTTGTGGACCAGGCTGGTCTTGAACTCACAGAGATCTGCCTGCCTCTGCCTCCCGAGTACTGGGATCATAGGCGTTGGCCACCACCGCCCAGCTTGTTCTGCTTTTTAACCCACCCCCACCCAAGTTTTCCTCATGTTTTCAGTGCCACAGTGAAAGTGCTGAGGTGCCAGTGTTTTGTTTTGTTTTAAGTTTTCCCTGATATATTCCCGGTGCCCAGAACATTCCCTGGTGTGGGACAGGTCACTAATAGATATTTATTGGTCAAATGAACATCTTATAAAAATCTTTAGAAGCTATATGGCAGATGACCCTGGAAGCAGGCAAAACAATTAGGAGGCTGTCAAGCCAGTTTAGGTATGCTGGAACTTTATGTCAAGTAGCAAATTGTTGCTATATGCCAGGTACATTTGAGGGTGGCAGCAAATGTAGTGAATCTTGTCCTAAGTCAGCTTCTCCAAAACAGTAGTGATTATCTCTTTTTTTCTTTCCAACAGTGGAGGTAGAACCCAGGGCTTATGCATTTCTGGGCATGTGCTCTATGACTGTTTGTTGCTTAAAATCTGTCCTGGACTGGGGATGGAACTCCTCAGCACAGTGTTTGTCTAGCATGCACAAGGTCAACCATAAAATACACAAGAAACGTAGAAATCCTGTGCTTTGTGGGCAGTCTTTCCATCCTGAATCCCCGAGCTGACAAGAGTTCTCTCGCCTGTCCTGATACAGATCTCTTTTATCTTGGAAAAAGAAAACAACCCTCCTCTCAAGGTACCCACAAAGGAGGACCTCTTCAAGACCTGTAGTGTCCCTGGTACCCCCACCAGCACCCCAGTGCTGTATACTCAGAATGTTGAGTCTAACTCTGAGGAAAGAGAACTGGACACCAGAGACTTGGAAATGTCCCAGAAAGTCAGGCGATCATACAGTCGGCTTGAGAGGCTCAATGCTGCCTCAACCTCCACCCCTGGCCGCCGATCCTTCTTTGGCTTTGAGGGACTTGAAGACTTGCCCCAAGTCTCACCTGTCGTGAGTTCAAAGTTAATTGAGATCCCCAAAGTATCTTCGAAGCCCTTGATTCCAGACACAACGCTTCCTGGAATCTCTCCTCCAGTCATGAAAGAGAAGCGAAGGAAGAAGGTGCCGGAGATCCTAGTGAGTAAGGGGCGGGGTCTCTCCCACAGATGCACCGTATTGGTTGGGGGGAGGGGGGCAGGACTCCAGGTTTTGAGGGAAGGCAATTCCTGAGGTGTGGATAAGTAACATTCTCTGGGCAATGTGGCCGCTTCCCCACTCAAATGCCCTCATTTCTTTCTACCAGAAATCGGAGCTGGATGAGTGGGCTAAGGCCATGAATGCTGAGTTTGAAGCTGCTGAACAGTTTGATCTTCTGATTGAATGAGATAAAGTGGGGGTACACCTGGCTAGGCTCTCCCCTCTCCCTGTACATATTGACTTTTGAGTAGAGCAGGACTTGTTACCCAGAAAGGTGTAGCTGGCCCCTTGTTATATTGTGGCTAGTTACCCTGGACTTTCTTCACAGTATTGGGGATGAGAAGCTAATTCTGTTACAATCCTGCACTGTCAGAAACAAGTTCATCGTGGGTTATCTCTCTGGTGTTGCCCTCTGTTGGTGGCTTGGAGTCCTAGAGTCTGATAGGGAGCTCACAGGCTAGAGACAGTTAAACTCTTGAGGAAATCTGAATATGGAGTCTGGGATGTGAAAGAAGGAGGTAGTCATAGTTTTTTTTGTTTGTTTTTTTAACACGAGTGACTGTTAAGTAGGAGCTGTTCATGTCTGTGTTCTGCTGTTGACACATTGGTGAATGAGGTACTGATGTCTAGGGCAAAGTAAGTATACTTCATGGTATGGGCTCCAGATGCCACCAACTTGAGATTTGTGGTCTCTGGTCACCCTTTCCTCACCCACATCTGTTTCTTTCAAAATGAACTGCACAGTCTTGGCTCTGGGATGTGGCTTTTTTCTCAGGAGCCATACAGCTGTAGCACTGATGACAGCTTTTGCTGTGAGCTTGACTATTACACTTTCACACGAGACCATTCCCGGGGGTGGGGGTTGCTGGGAACAAAAGTAGATGTCTCATGGTCTCTGCGGAAGTGCTTCCTGCCTACCATCTCCTCTGGATGATAGTAGAAGATATGGTTTCAAAGGGCATTGGACTTCCAACATATGCAGGTTCATTGGAGAAGAAGCTGCATGGAATGAGAGTTGCAAGCAAGCACCTGTACACCAGGATGGTTTTGAGCGGAGCACATCTGAAGAATTTGTCCTCACTGGTCCCTGTGGACCGTGAGCTGGACCTTCTGATTGCTGCCATCACTACAGACCCGTCTGTCTTTGAGGAACTAATGTACAGCCCAGGGGAAAGGTTTGATGTCAAATAAACTTTTAAAGAGTTTTGTTTATAGACTGCTTTTTATTTGGTCAAAGACAGAGCCACTGGTGTGAAGCCCTGGATGCCATGTCATTGGACTGTGTCACCAGGGCTGTTCCTCTTAAAATTTGCCAACCTGGCCTCCCTCCAATGACTGATGCCTTGTGCCTCCAAACTAGGGTTTCCTGAAATGAAGGCCCAAGCCCCCCTGTCCCAGGGGAGGTTTATGGAATTGACTACACTTCATCCCTCTCCCTCTTTTCCTAAGGCTCCATCCATCATAGGAGCCAGTGGCTCAGGTATAATAGCTGTTCCTAGATGCCACCCAGCAGCTGATGCCTTGTGCCTCCAAACTAGGGTTTCCTAGTTTGGGCACCCCTGAGAAGCAGATCAAAGATGTGATTCCTTGGCCTGTTGTGCAGATGTGAGCGTCCCAGCTCATCTTCTGCTGAAATTTAGGCTTTTAAATTTCCTCCAGAGCCCTTCCTGAACCTAGAATATCATCTCAGCTCAACTGGCCAACAAGACCCAGATCTGCCTATCTCACCCTTTCCCTGGTTCTAGGCAGATAATATTGCCACATTGGCTTTTATGTTTGTGCTAGAGACCTGAACTCAGATCTCTATGCTTGCATAGCAAGCACTTTACCCACTGAGTCATCTCCTTTGCCCACACCATCCTGTTACATTCTTGCAGTGTATCTGTGTTATTGTAATTTAAAAGATATTGGCCACCTGTGCTACTTTTAATTCCAGCTCTCTAGGAAGGCAGAAACAGGCAGATCTAAGTTTGAGGCCAGCCTGGTCTTACATAGTGTGTTCCAGGACAGCCAGAGCTAGGGAAATCCTGTCTAAAATAAACAAAACCAAAAACTGTTAGGGGTGGTGGTGGTGGCATATGCCTTTAAATCCCAGCACTCAGGAGGTAGAGGCAGGCATATCTCTGAGTCCAAGGCCAGCCTGGTCTACAGAGAGAGTTCTAGGACAGCAAAAGCTACATAGAGAAACTGTCTTGGCATGTGAGGGAGATAAAAACACAAAAGAGTTGGCACATGACATTGTCAGCACCTGGCCTCTCCTCAGTATTAATGCTCTTGAGAGATCAGCCAGGACATTCATGGACATCATTATGGCAGTGTAGAAAGAAGATGTTGATATGTAAAATAATTTTCCTTCTAATAAAAAAAAAAAAAGAAGATAGGACATAGAGGTAGAGGTAACTTCTATCTTAGGACTCCATCCTAATAGGTGGAATATCTCATGCTACACAGTAGGAAACACCCTCAAAGTAAGCCCACCACCATGACCAAGGTCCTGAGGGAGGTTTTGCTCAGCAGGGAAGTAGACAGGGAACTTGTAGGAACATTCATTGATAAGAGCACAGTAGTGGGGACAAGTTTGCAATTCTATTTAAGAGAAAGAACCCCTATTCTGCGAGATAATGGGGTAGAGTAGAAGAAAGGTATCAGCCAACTGCACACCTAAAGACCGATGTGGGAGGTGGAGGGGGGAGGAGTAGAACAGGCCATGCTCCACTGTGTGATGAATTCCAGATCAGCCTAGGCTACACCAGACTCAAGGGCAAGAATAAACACTAACCTTTTTAATGTAAGTGTATCCCCTGCAATACTCTCATGTTTGGGATGTGTTTATGTGCAAAGAAATCTTCCAGGGGCTATAGCTCAGTGCTTATCTAGCAAACATGGGCCCTTGGGTTTGGTCTCCAGTACCACTTATATGAAAATGATTCAGTATCTGAGATTCATATGTCTTGTATTTCACCTGGCAATTTACCAAAGCTGCAGGTGAGCAGAATTTTGTCAGATGACACCCTTCAAAAACAACAAAACCAATATAGATCTCTGTGAGTTCTAGACCAGCATGCTCTAGAAAGTGAGTTTGAGGACAGCCAGGGCTGTTACACAGAGAAACCCTGTCTTGGGAAAAAATAAAAATAAAAGGAAACCTGCAAACTGTAAACAAACAAACAAAAATACACAAGGTATTGGGGGCAGTAGTATTTAAAGGAATCCTACAGTTTTGTAAAAGTGGAGAATTATTTCCACTTAGTGTCAGATGGGCATTGAGAAGCAAATCAAAGATGGCATTTGAGAACCTCTGTTATGATACTTTTTTTCCTATCTTATTGTTATTCCAAATAGGGTCTCATGTAGCCCAGGCTGGCCTTTAAGTCGTTATTTAGCTGAATAATTTAGCTGAATTATTAGGCCTTAAAATCTTGTTTGTTTTGTTTTTGAGACAGGGTTTCTTTGGGTAGCCCTGTCTGTTCTGGAACTTGTTCTGTAGACCAGGCTGGTCTTGAGCTCAGAGATCTGCCTGCCTCTGACACCCAAGTACTGGGATCAAAGGCGTGTGCCACCACCACCTGGCTGGTCTTAAATTATTGATACTCCTGCCTCTACCCCCTAAATGCCAAGACTACAGCTTTACCTACAGTATTCACCTTGGGGATGCAATTGGATTCATTCCCTGGAGATAGTCATGGGCTCCTGGGATGACTCCATGGGCAAGAGCCTGTACCAAACAAGTCTAACAACCCTGGTTTGTTTCTTTTCTTTTTCTTTTTTTTTAAGATTTTATTTATTATGTATACAACATTCTGCTTCCAAGTATATCTGCACACCAGAAGAGGGCACCAGATCTCATAACGGATAGTTGTGAGCCACCATGTGGTTGCTGGGAATTGAACTCAGGACCTCTGGAAGAGCAGTCAGTGCTCTTAACCTCAGCCATCTCTCCAGCCCCCCTGGTTTGTTTCTTGAAGTCAAAGGTGGAAGAAAGAACTGGCTCCCAAGAGTTGTCTTCTGACCCTCACATGTGGGCCATACACATATCACAGTGGTAATAAACTTGGAAAAAATAGAAAACTGTGTATTGATCACATTTCTTATCGTATGACAAAACAGCTTAAGTAAGGAGGGTTTATCTTGGCTCACAGTTTGAGGATGTGGTTCACCGTGGCAGGGTTGTCATGGCAACATGAGTCTGGTCACATTGCTTCTGTATTCATGATGCAGGGCCAGATGAATGGCAGTGCTCGGTTCTCTTTCGGGTTTTCATTCTGTCTAGAACCTCAGCCCATGGAATGGTGACAGCCATGTCTAGGGCAGGTCTTCCTCTCTCAGTTAACCCAATGTAGCAACTTCTTCAGCAACATGCCAGGAGGTTTGTCTCCTAGGTGATTCTAGATTGTCAAGGTGACACTATTAACCATCAACACTGGGCATCCTGTATTTGCTGAGGGCTTTACCATCTGGGCAGGACCATGGTCTAGCAACACCAGCTTGGGGGTTCTGGCTTCCTTAATAGAGCTGGTAATGGACACTCCCTAGACCAATTACCTACTCCAAGAAAACAAAGCTTGTTAGAAAAGGCAAACAAATAGGATGGGGGAAGCAGGTGACCAGGAAGGTCTGTCTCCCTCAGTCTCTCACAGGCATACCGAGTGTCCACTCCAAGCAGACCCTGAAAACAGTAATGCAGCCTGCTGAGCCGCCACTAGAAGAACCGCCACTAGAAGAACCTGGGGACTCTGAGGAGCCCAGCATGGAGGTGACAGCAAGTCCTAGGGTCTCCCTAATTTTTTTTGAAGATTTTATTTATTATGTATACAACATTCTGCTTCTATGTATATCTGCACACCAGAAGAGGGCACCAGATCTCACTACAGATGGTTGTGAGCCACCAAGTGGTTGCTGGTGGTGCTCTTAACCTCTGAGCCATCTCTCCATCCCGGATCTCCCTAATTTACTACTAACCCTAAGACAGAAGGCAAGGGAGAGAGGTGGCCTACAGAAGTTCTTGATCCTCCAACTCCTCCCTCTTGCTGCAGCCTCTAGCTGCTGGGGCATCTTGGGTTCTTCTCCAGCTGGCAGGCCTCTTCAAAAAGACTACTCTCATTGGCCCTGTCTTTTCCACTGCTTCCTCCCCATAAGTTGAGGGGCACAGAGACCAAATCCCTGTAAAGCAGAGAGATGAAAAGGGCAAGAAGGGGAGGAAGGACGAGGCTCTTGGGTTGGAAGTCTCATGCCACTTCAGTCACCAAGGTGCCTTTTCTGCAAAGAGGTCTTCAGAGCAAACGCTGGACCTTCAGTCGGAACCCACTGTCACATTCCTGTTCACACTCCTGAACACCCCAGAGCCCAAAGATGGCGAATCGTAAGGCTGCTTGAATGGTTGTCTGTCTGTGAGTGGGTAGGTATCACCTGAGGGAGGTGGGAGACAACCCTTGTTCACCAGGACTATTCAGACCTGTGCTAAGTTTAAGCTTTGGGCTGAACAGCAGGAAGGCCCACCCACACATGACTGATGGAGCTGGGTGTTGGGCTGGGAACTATCAACTGGCCTCCAGACCCTGAGGTCTGCTCTCACCTCCCCAGGGACACGGAGACACTGGAGCAACAGTTCCTGAGTCAGGAAGATTGGGGCCCTAGGCGTACTTCAGAGGAGATACAGAATTTACAGAAGGAGTGCCAGAGGTAAGCTTGAGGGACACATGGCGTGAAGTTTACAGGACTTGGTGGTGAAGCCAGCTCTGGTTCTTAGCTGAGGGCTTTGACTGTGGCTTTGGGTCTTCACTTACCCTGAATCCTCTGTTTGTGTCCTCTTCTGTCTTTATTCTGTCCCACCCTAGATAACCTCCTTGCCATCAGGGCCCTCACCTCCCAAACAGAAGTATCTTACAACATCAGGATCTGTCCCACTGGTTAGTGACCACAGCCATGGCTGAGTAGCAGGAATCTAGTATATTGAGGATTCTTACCTTTTTGTTTTGTTTTTTGTTTTTTTGAGACAGGGTTTCTTTGTGTAGCTTTGGAGCCTGTCCTGGCACTTGCTCTGGAGACCAGGCTGGCCTCAACCTCAGAGATCCACCTGCCTCTGCCTCCTGAGTGCTGGGATTAAAGGTGTGCACCCCAACGCCCGGCCGAGGATTCTTACCTTTAACGTCAAAGAACTGGATAGCTAGCTAGCTGTAGAGGATTCCATTCTGTGATGTCAGCCAATGGAGCTCGGGGTCTGCTCAATTCTACCTGGGAACAGAGGTCCTGGGATAGAAGTGATGCCTCTCCTCTAGTGCTTCATGCCTTTAACCCTGGATCTGAGCAATTCAAGTTTCCACTCACACACTGCAGGCACAGAGCTCTCAGGCAGGGCTGATTCATAGTAGAAACTCACCAACCTGGAACCATACAGAGTCCTGAACCAGCCCTGATACAGCACAGAGGGATGGCCAGCCTTCTGCCCTGCTCCATGGAGACTCCAGAGGAAGCATGGCCCAGCCCAAGTGATAAGCAGCCTGTCTCTTTCTACAGAAGAGTTGGGTAAGCCATGCGTTGGTGGTGCACGCCTTTAATCCCAGCACTCGGGAGGCAGAGGCAGGCGGATCTCTGAGTTCGAGCCCAGCCTGGTCTACAAGCCCTAGTTCCAGGACAGTCTCCAAAGCCACAGAGAAACCCTGCCTCAAAAAACCAAAAAAAAAAAAAAAAAAAAAAAAAAAAAAAAGAAGAGGAGGAGGAGGAGAAGGAGGAGGAGGAGTTGGGTGTGGGTACACACCTGCAACCCCAGAATTTGGAGGTGGAAGCAGGAAGACCAGGGGTTGGACATCATCTTCGCTATGAAAATTCTAGGTCAGTCTAGGCTGTGTGAGACCTTGTTATGAGTAAATAACAAATAAGGTTTGAGAATGTAGCTTAGTTGGTTGAGCCTCTCAGGAAGCTGGGATTCCAATCCTAGTCTTGTATAGACTAAGTGTGGGGGTGCATGCAGGTGGTCTCAGCAGTTGGGGGTAGAAATAGAAGGGTCAAGAGTTCAAGGTCATCTTTGTCTCCATAGTAAGCCTGAAGCTAGCCTAGACAACACAAGAGTCTGTCTTGAAATTGTCTAATTAAAGAGAAGGGGTTGGAGAGATGGTTAAACAGTTAAGAGCACTGGCTACTTTTGGAGAGGACCCAAGTTCAGACCCCAGCACCCACATAGAGGCTCACAACTGTCTATAACTCTAGTCCCAGGGGATCTGATTCTCTTTTCTGGCTTCTGAGGACACCAGGCATAGGAACAGGCAAAACATTCATAATATAAACTAGAAATAAGTTAACTTTTTTTTTTTTTTTTTTTTTTTTTTTGGTTTTTACTTTGTAGCCCTGGATGTCCTGGAATTCACTCTGAAGAAGACCAGGCTGTCCTGAAACTCACAGAGATCTACCTGCCTCTGCCTCCTGAGTACTAGGATTAAAGACCTGAGCCACTACCACCCAGTATAAATAAGTAAATCTTTTTTTTTTTTTTTTGGCTTTTTGAGACAGGCTTTCCCTGTGTAGCTCTGGAGCCTGTCCTGGAACTAGCTCTTGTAGACCAGACTGATCTCGAACTCACAGAGATCTACCTGCCTCTGCCTTCTGAGTGCGCCACCGCCTCTTGGCTAAATAAGTAAATCTTAAAGAGAATACTGGGAACTCAAGATGGCTCAGGAGTTAAGAGCACTGACTGCTCTTCCAGAGACCTGGGTTCAACTGTCTATAATTCCAGTTCCAGAGGATCTGACACCCTCACACCAATGCACATAAAATAATTTTTAAAGCAAAAATAAATAAATACATACATAAAATAGAATGCTGGGTGTAGTGGTCCATGTCTTTAAATCCCAGAACCAGGAGGTGAGGCAGGCAGTCCAGTCTTGTTTACATAGTGAGTTCCAGGCCAGTCAGGGCTATATAATGAGACCCTGTCTCAACAACAACAAAACAAAAATATAAAAACAAAAAATGAAAAAAAAATAAAGAGAAAAAGCAGCTGATGTGAAAGACCCCCCAGACCCCTAAGGGCCTCAGGATCCCGAGGAGCCCCCGAGACTCAGAAACCAGACCAAGAGCTGCAAAAGCAAGAGGGTTTATTGAACAAATTCGCATTCGGGTGTCAGCAATATCGGGGAAGTTGCACACCCCAGCATGGGGTGCAAGCTCCTTATATAGGAAAAACCGCAGATCAGCATAGAGGCAAGGGGCACAAAGTGATTGATTACAAAGTATGATCTCATGTTAAAGTGGTCATCCAGGTGTGACCTGCTTTTCTATGAAGGAAAATCCATAGAATGTACCCTGAAAAGTCCTTGATTGTCTGTTGGCCAGCCAGGTGTGACCCAAAGAAGGTTGTCTTGGCGATTGCCCCGTCTAAACCATAGGATGTGCCCGGGGTGGGGCCAACTTCCTTGTAATGGCCAAGGCCTGTGGTAAACGTTTTCTCTCTGTGAACTAAAAGCTTTCAAAACTTTTTCTCTCAGCAAACTAAAATCTTTCAATGGAAGGAACAGTTCCCTCCACAATGGATTAAATCTTAGGAAGCACCAGCCAACAGAGCTGACACAGGAAGCATGTGACTGGGAAAAGAGCTTGGGTTTAGGTAACCTCTTTTTTACTCTAGGCTTCAGGAGGCACTTAAGGATAACAAAAGGGACAACCTGGCCCTTGAAGAGAAGCTAGAAAGCCTGGTGAGACCCCTAGCCCCAGAGCCATACCTTTGCTTTGGCTCCTTCCTGCCCCCAGCCTCACCCCTTCGCTCCTGGGGCTGAAGGTAGTCCTGCTGGTCAGCCACCATCTCGGGCCCTGCAACCCTTTCTCCTAGGCTACCTCATTGTACGAAAACCTGGAGAAAACTCTGCTCACACCAAAGAACTATAGAGTCACCCAAAAGACAGCTGAAGTCTCTCAAGAGGAAGCAGGGGTTACCCAGGAGGAAGCAGAGGACACCCAGGAGAAAGCAGAGGACACCCAGGAGAAAGCAGAGGACACCCAGGAGAAAGCAGAGGACACCCAGGAGAAAGCAGAGGACACCCAGGAGAAAGCAGAGGACACCCAGGAGAAAGCAGAGGACACCCAGGAGAAAGCAGAGGACACCAAGAAGAAAGCAGAGGACATCCAGGAGGAGGCAGAGGACACCCAGGAGAAAGCAGAGGACATCCAGGAGGAGGCAGAGGACACCCAAGAGGAAGCCTTGGCTCTTGGGCAGCTGAAGAGAGTTTCTGCCCAGCACTACTCCCTTGAGCCTCCTACACCGCAGCCAGCAGCCACCCTATCCCCAGAAGATAGTGTCTCATGGGAACAGCAATCAGCCCAGGCCAGGCCTGAGGCCAGAGAATGGACACCTCTTCAGGAGGCTGCTCCACCAGTCAGCCCCTCTTTAAGCCCCAGCAATAAAGATCCCCACTGAGTTGCAGAACCAAGCGTCCATGGGCCTGGCACTTGGGTGGGGTAGGATCCATCAACTCCAAGGAGATCTGGGTCTCTGGACCTTCCTAACCCCCACAGCATTGCCTTCAGACTTACTCAAGTACTGTTCTGTGGTACATCCAGGGAGGGACAGGACTGGGAAGGGCTCTACTTCATCCTTGAGGATCAAGGCTGTAATTTGAGAGTACAGACAGAACACACTAAGGTCAGGAAGAATTTCTTCCCCCCTATGACCTCCAGCAAGTCATCACTCTTTTTTGGGGTGTGGGGGGCTTACTTAAAGCCATTTTTTGTCATTTTTTATTTTAAAAACAACCTTATTTTACATACAAATCCCTCTAACTCCCATCATCCCACTCCCCCCACCATCTCCATCCACTCCTCAGAGGGGGTGAGGCCTCCAATAAGGAATCATCAAAATCTGTCATATCATTTGGGGCAGGACCAAGGCTTTTCCCACTGTTTCTAGGCTGAGCAAGGTATCCCTCCATAGGGAATGGGTTCCCTATGGGAACCTGTGGGAGCTCACTGACTCCAGACTGACAGTTGGGGAACCTGCATAGGACTGAACTAGGCTACCTGAATGTGGATGACAGTTGGGGGACTTGGACAGTTTTTGGGCCACTAGCAGTGTCAACTAGCCTTTTGTTGGTCACAGGGTGGGAAGCAGAAAGATGGTGGGAACTCCCCAGGGCCTGGAGGTGCATTTAGATCTGGGCTGCGACTGCTTCAGGAATTTGCCTCTCAGTCTTTGTCCAGCCTGGGGAGCCAGCCTCACTAGGTGCCCACATAGTGGGGAAGTAACAAAGATAACCTGTATAAACTGACAACTTGACTGCTCCATGGTATAGTTAAAGGGAATTTTTTTTATTGTAGAGATGAAAGAGAACAGTCAGAGGCATCTGGAAAAGTCGGAGAGAGAAAGATTTAGACTGAACATGACCAACAGACTGGACCTGGCCAGGGCTTTCTGTGAGGCAAGGGAGAATAGAGGAAACAGAGAAACAACGAGCAGAAAAGAGCAAAAGATGAGTAGATGGATGGATAGATGATAATCAGATAGTAGATAGACAGACAGATAGATAGACAGAAAGAAAGAATATCAAGAGCAGGGTTTACTGGGTGGTGGTAGCCTACAGATTAAGTTCCAGGATAGGTTCCAAAGCTACAGAGAAACCCTGCCTCAAAAAAACAAAAAGAAAAAAAAAACAAAAAAAGGTACTTGATTGGTAGTGGTGTATTCCTTTAGTCCCAGTACTAGGGCGGCATAGACAGGCGGATCTCTGTGAGTTCAAGGCCAGCCTGGTCTACAAAGTGAGCTCCAGGACAACTAGGATTGTTACATAGAGAAACCCTGTTTCAAAAGGCCAAAAAAGAATAGTAGGGGAGGGGTAGCTGGGGAGGGAAACCCTAGGGAAAAGTCAGCTGCATCCCACTCCTCTTCAGGTAAGTGGCCTCTGCATTTATGGAGCCTGAGCTAGAACTCTTCTCTAACTCTCAAAATTTAAACAGGATAGGAAACCCTAGAAAGGGGGGTGGGGGTGGGGGGTGATTGGGGTGAGGGTCAGCTGACCTTTATACCTGCTCTTGGGCAGACACCAACCAGGAGCTCCCTGCCTGTGGCTCCTCCCCCAAA